GGGGGGAGGACGGGTTGGCTGGCTGGGCGGCCGGGGAGAGCGGCCGCTGCAGGGGACGCGCTGGCCCTCACCCGTCACAGCCACCATGGTGCCCGGGCTCCGTGCGCGCCTCTCGGAGGCGGCCCTGCAGGCATAGACCCCGGAGTCGTTGGGCGTCAGGAGGCTCATGGAGATGGTCAGGTTGCTCTGCGTCCCCGAGAACGCGATGCGGCCCCGGAACGCGCGGTCCACGGTGGGCTCCACCTGGTCCTCGAAGTAGATCACGTTGGCCGGCGTGGGCCAGCGCCGCTCCAGGAAGACGCCGCCGAAAAGGGCCCCGCGAGTCAGGCACACCAGGCTGACGGAGGCCCCCTCGGGGGCCGCGGCATAGAGGGGGGACTGCTGGACCTCTGCGGGCCACCGTCACGTCACGTGCGGCCGGGGACCCCTCTGCCCACCCATTGCAGCAGCAGGGACCCCAACACTGCCCCACGGTGGCGGGGGGGGCTGGCACTGGAGCCGGGACAACAAGGTGGCCTCCTCCACGCTCAACCCTCCCCCTCCCCACATTACCCTCCCCACCTTACCCGTCTACCTCCCTCCTCCTCCCTGCCTCCCCCTCCCCACTTCTCCCCCTTTCCCTCTGCCTCCCCCTCCCCCCTTCCCCACCTCACCCCCTCCCCCTCTTGCTGAGCCCTGGCCAGCAGAGGCTGCTGTTCACCCCCTTCCCCTCTCCCTTCCCCACGGTGCCCACCCCTGTTCTGGGCGCCTCCCCCTCTGTGGAGGGGACACTGCCAGCCCGCCCAGCCTGCCCGCCCAGGGCCCCTTCTTCCCACAGGACAGAGCCCCAGCCCCCGTGGTTTCTTTGCACAGGATGGTGGTGGCCCAGCCCCAGGCCCCTCCCGGTGTGACCCAAGCTCTCCAGGGCTTCGAGAAACAGAACAAAACCCAAAGCACAAAGTCCTGGCAGGGTGAGTCTCCACGGAGAGGGCGGGCACGGCGCTCACTCCAGACCCCGCCAGCTTTCGTGTCCCTGCTCGGACACCTGGGGCTGGGCCTGACCGGGCGGCCCTGTGGAGGGGATCCTGTTCTCCTCCCCCGGCCCGGCCCAGCCCAGCCTGGCCGGCCAGGGAGGCACTTACCTTGGGCACCCACCATGGTGAGCAGCAGAGCTGGCAGTGTGAGCCAGATCATGCTGGTCCTACCCAGCCGAGCCCAGCGCCCAGCGCCCAGCGCCCAGCGCCTCGCAGCAGCTCCAGCTCACAGCTCAGCCCGCAGCTCGCAGCTCCAGCTCACAGCTCAGCCCGCAGCTCCAGCTCACAGCTCAGCCCGCAGCCCAGCTCCAGCTCACAGCTCAGCCCGCAGCTCCAGCTCACAGCTCAGCCCGCAGCTCCAGCTCACAGCTCAGCCCGCAGCTCCAGCTCACAGCTCAGCCCGCAGCTCGCAGCTCACAGCTCAGCCCGCAGCTCCAGCTCACAGCTCAGCCCGCAGCTCCAGCTCACAGCTCAGCCCGCAGCTCGCAGCTCAGCTCTAGCTGCACCTGCAGCTGGCCCTGGCCGAGAGAGGGTGGGGCTGCTGGAGGGCCTCCTGGGGCGGGGCCTGGGGAGGCGTGCGGCCCCTGGATGAAGGCGGCACCTTCCCCTGCCCCACACCCTCTGCTCCCCAGCCTCCGCCTCTCACCAGGAGGAGCCGTTCTCTGTCCTCCATGGGAAGGCTCCAGGCACCACGGCAAAAGTTCTGTGAGCTCCATGCTGGGTGCAAGGCGGTGTATGTGCAGTGCCGCAGCAGTGTGATCAGGGTGTGTGCGTGTGACATGTGCACATGGCCACACGGGTGTGCTCAGGGTGTGTGTGACAGCATGTGCACACGGGCACACGGGTGTGCTCAGGGTGTGTGTGACAGCATGTGCACACGGGCACACGGGTGTGCTCAGGGTCTGCACACAGTGTAGTGTGCACTATCACACAGGTGTGCTCAGGGTCTGCACACAGTGTAGTGTGCACGGGCACATGGGTGTGCTCGGGGTCTGCACACAGTGTAGTGTGCACTATCACACGGGTGTGCTCGGGGTCTGCACACAGTGTAGTGTGCACTATCATCGGGGTCTGCACAGTGTAGTGTGCACTATCACACGGGTGTGCTCAGGGTCTGCACACAGTGTAGTGTGCACTATCACACGGGTGTGCTCGGGGTTTGCACACAGTGTAGTGTGCACACGGGCACACGGGTGTGCTCGGGGTCTGCACACAGTGTAGTGTGCATTATCACACAGGTGTGCTCGGGGTCTGCACACAGTGTAGTGTGCACACGGGCACACGTCTGTGCTCGGGGTCTGCACACAGTGTAGTGTGCACTATCACACGGGTGTGCTCGGGGTCTGCACACAGTGTAGTGTGCACTATCACATGGCTGTGTTCAGGGTCTGCACACAGTGTAGTGTGCACTATCACACGGGTGTGCTCAGGGTCTGCACACAGTGTAGTGTGCACGGGCACACGGGTGTGCTCGGGGTCTGCACACAGTGTAGTGTGCACACGGGCACACGGGTGTGCTCAGGGTGTGTGTGACAGCATGTGCACACGGGCACACGGGTGTGCTCGGGGTCTGCACACAGTGTAGTGTGCACACGGGCACACGGGTGGCTCAGGGTCTGCACACAGTGTAGTGTGCACACGGGCACATGGGTGTGCTCGGGGTCTGCACACAGTGTAGTGTGCACTATCACACGGGTGTGCTCAGGGTCTGCACACAGTGTAGTGTGCACTATCACACAGGTGTGCTCAGGGTCTGCACACAGTGTAGTGTGCACGGGCACATGGGTGTGCTCGGGGTCTGCACACAGTGTAGTGTGCACTATCACACGGGTGTGCTCGGGGTCTGCACACAGTGTAGTGTGCACTATCACACAGGTGTGCTCGGGGTCTGCACACAGTGTAGTGTGCACTCGGGCACACGGGTGTGCTCGGGGTCTGCACACAGTGTAGTGTGCACACGGGCACACGGGTGTGCTCGGGGTCTGCACACAGTGTAGTGTGCACGCGGGCACACGGGTGTGCTCGGGGTCTGCACACAGTGTAGTGTGCACACGGGCACACGGGTGTGCTCGGGGTCTGCACACAGTGTAGTGTGCACACGGGCACACGGGTGTGCTCAGGGTCTGCACACAGTGTAGTGTGCACTATCACACGGGTGTGCTCAGGGTCTGCACACAGTGTAGTGTGCACTATCACACGGGTGTGCTCAGGGTCTGCACACAGTGTAGTGTGCACTATCACACGGGTGTGCTCGGGGTCTGCACACAGTGTAGTGTGCACTATCACACGGGTGTGCTCGGGGTCTGCACAGTGTAGTGTGCACTATCACACGGGTGTGCTCGGGGTCTGCACACAGTGTAGTGTGCACGGGCACACAGGTGTGCTCGGGGTCTGCACACAGTGTAGTGTGCACTATCACACAGGTGTGCTCGGGGTCTGCACACAGTGTAGTGTGCACTATCACATGGGTGTGCTCGGGGTCTGCACACAGTGTAGTGTGCACGGGCACACGGGTGTGCTCGGGGTCTGCACACAGTGTATTGTGCACTATCACACGGGTGTGCTCAGGGTCTGCACACAGTGTAGTGTGCACGGGCACATGGGTGTGCTCGGGGTCTGCACACAGTGTAGTGTGCACTATCACACGGGTGTGCTCAGGGTCTGCACACAGTGTAGTGTGCACACGGGCACACGGGTGTGCTCAGGGTCTGCACACAGTGTAGTGTGCACTATCACACGGGTGTGCTCGGGGTCTGCACACAGTGTAGTGTGCACGAGCACACGGGTGTGCTCGGGGTCTGCACACAGTGTAGTGTGCACACGGGCACACGGGTGTGCTCGGGGTCTGCACACAGTGTAGTGTGCACACGGGCACACGGGTGTGCCCGAGTGCGTGTGTTTCCTTGCTCACAGCAATGGTGTGAACGGCAGTGCAGGGCTGCAGTCCCTCAGGACTGGCCTGGCCCTCCCTCTGGGCGCCGCCCCTCACCCAGGGGTGTGTGGGCCGGTGCTGGGGCGCGGCTGTGTTGAGGGGCGCAGGCAGGGCCGCTGGCCTGGACCCAGCTTCCCGCAGCCGCGCTGTCACTGCCTCTGTGGCCGCTCAGGAGGGGAGGTGTGGCTGCTGGAGGGGAGGTGTGGCTGCTGGAGGG